GGATGAAATCTACCGAACGACTGCAGAAAAGACCGATCGAATTGAACCTGAGATGCAACCGTCCAGAACCGAAGCAGTCGACAAAAATGACTCCTCTTCAACTCATTCTTTCAGTTCACCTAATTGTTCATCATGTTAAATATGTAAATTCCTAGAAAATCATACGTGTCAATGATGAGCAAGTTCTGCTCACCGATAATGACATTCAATATTGAGTTTTCTGGCAATATTTGCCCTGTTTAAGAGCTCACTACACTGCACACCTCCCTATTGTTCCGACCGATTTACCCGTACCATTCACGAAGATTCCTCAACCAAGTTCAAGCTCACCCAGTTTACATGGCTTCCGCATGCTCCGTGCTCTCGAAAAGCGCTATTCAAATTATCCTTCAAACTGATTATGAGTGCAATAGCATTCATTCATCTGTTTCAACAGAGAAATAGCAAACGATTCACTTTCATTGGACCGACGCGATTTACGGAGCAGCTGTTATTTCCAATAGTGATATTTGAATCTTTTTACTCTAAACGAACTGTAGCATTTTCACAATGTCCGCATAAGATGCCACATCCTGTGAACGAAACTCGGATCTTGTATCAATTGCTCTCCAGCGATGCTCAGTGGGAAGAAATGGGAGGAAATGAAAAACAGCGGAAAGTGCGATTCGAAGAATATATTCAGAATTCAAAAGTGAACCGGTTCTAACCAGTTGTAGTACTATATTCAATAAAACCATATGATTTGAATGTTAGAATGAACAAATTCATAAAACAAATGAAAGTAAATGATCGAACAACAAAAAAAGTAATGTGGTGTGTTTCTACGTTAGTGACTAACAAATCAGTAAAGAAGTGCACAACATCTAACAAACAGACTCAATTTTGGAACGAATTTAATGAGAGTGTTGCCTACAAATATGATACACTCACTCACGAAGTGAACGCAACAAGTAAATTCATTCGTCAGTTGCGGTGATGATAACGCCAGTTTAACAATTCTGTAAATACTTCACTATTTACCTGATTGTGAGGCAACCTCAATGAAATTTATCGATAAAGTGAAAATGCACCACTCAATATCTAGAAAACACTACCCTTACATTTATTCACAGTTCACTGAATAATGACAGTCTGCTACTAAGAGCAGGCTGTCATTATTCAGTGAACTGTGAGTACTGTTTTCCTAGACAGCCTGCTACTAAGAACCATTCACAGTTCTAGGCACGTTTCGAAANTGAACGTGAACGTGAATGCTCGATGCATTTGAATGTGCAACAACTACTGAAGGTGCAACTGAATAAACGATGGTTGCGAGTGGCTGTTATGAATGGAAGTGAAATGAATTGAAGTCGAGAGTGGAATGGAAGAGTGAGACAAGAGTACAGGCACATCATATCAAGGACACACTAAACACTGAATACTGAAACGACGTTCGCCGGTACATCACTGTTAAGCAATGAAATATTTTTATGAACACGGCACAAATGTTTTAACAAACACATAATATCTATGAAAAACTGCACGTAGTCAAGTGGAGTTTCATTGCAATGACGTCTGCTGATATCGCAACAGAATCGTTCTCTCGACGTCTCTCTGCTCATCAAAATAATAATCGCAAGTGGCATCATAAAAAATAAGCTGGCGTTCATGCATTTATGCACTGTATGTGCAGTATTGAAAAATTGGATCGATTGAATGATCACAATAAATCACCAAACATTTTTGATGGATGCATCAGACCTTGTCGTTTTGCTTGATAGCAAATTTATTGACTGGAACATAAGATGTTTCATATCAATGCTAATGTAATACCACGAATGTAAACCTTGTTCTCAGTCAAACCGAAAATCTTTCATATTGATATTCATTTCGCACCAAAGCAACCCAGTGAATTTCACCAGGTTTCTACCACAGTCCTTCCATGCTAACATCTCAATTTCCATCTCACTTTTCTTCTTATTCGCTCTTTGGTAGCCATTAATGGAATTAAATTGTTGATGATCATTCAATGGTGACTGGCTGTGATAAATCACATTTTAGCCAATTCATGATCAGAAGCGATCAGCATGAAGAACTTCAGTCGATCTGAATCACACTCACGAAGAACAGATCCAGACAAATTTTAGGGCCAAATCAAAGACTTTCCTGTGACAGTTAAACAAATAACATTAACTATTACTGGAAGTTAAACGAAAGAACTGTGATGGAATGATACCTACTAGTAATGATAAACAGCCATTGGATACTCATTGGTAAAGCGTTGTGATGTGAAGAGAATGTGAATGATGTAAACACTAGTTGTAAAATATAATGCAAAATCGTTTCGTTTGTCATCGAATGAATTTAGTGCGTTAATAAGTTCTCGATTTTGCATTAAATATCACTGCAGTCATTATTTTCAGGACATTTGCGATTGACTTGACAAAAATGCTTGATATCTAAAGTTTTCATATCCGAGAAATAAATGAAATAATACTTCTTTCAAGGGTGGTAACCAAAATTCAGCCAAAACAAAGCATGTGATCGGATGAGCATGTTGTCGTCAATTATCAAGCAATTCAAATGATTAGAACAAAAACTAGTTAGGAAATGATTTCGATATGCGAATGCGAAAGTATATTTTGATTTTAAAAATGATCGAACAGAACGTGATGAAATATGAAGAACGAAAGATACGTAGGAAGAATAGACTCACAAGCAAAATATTTGGTTCGACCAAGATAACAAATGAGATGAGTTGATGCAATAAGCCTTCACTTATTGCTCTTGTTACTCGTGGAGAACAAAGAAAGATGCAAACGTTGGAGTGAAGATATTGAGATAGAGTACCACATGAGCCAATATTAGTCACTTTGTGAAACATCTCATTTCGTGAATTCAAGACGGAATTTATACATAATTGCTTTAAATATTAATCCACATTAAAAGGTAGTAATTTATGGATTTTGCTCGTAAATTCCGGTTTTCGACTGAAATCAACGCCAGAAAATCATGACATTCAAGATGGAACCTGAGAGATTTTATCGCTTTAATTGAGCAGTCCAATGTGCTCGAACACTGGTAGCACTGATAAGTATTTGAAATGAACCGAAAGGGATCGTAAAATGAACTGAATTGAGTGCTGTGGGATTGATGGATGCAACTCCTTTATATAATAGAGTGAAATATTTTACGATCTGAACAATATTTGCCTACAATATAAAAAATCTCTTCATTTCATCGGCACAAAAAGTTCACCGTTAACAGAAGTGGTTGTTGTTGAAGCATTCGAGCAGTGTGATGAATATGTAGCAGAAAATGTGAACGAATGAAAACATCAAGGTGAGCAAACAGATGCATTCGAGTTGTTTAGGTGACTGCACGCATCCGTTAAGAAAGCACGACTGCAATGTTGAAATAGAACTGAAGGATTTTTCTTATACCGTAACATTCTAATTCTTGAGCATTTACAAGCACTACTGCATTGAGGTTTAGCTTGCATTCATTCTTTGCCCACAGAATCGGTTTCAACAAGTTGTTCCATCGTTGACGTAACATTTACTGACGCGAACTTCATCATTGCTGATCACAGTTTGCATGTATTTTCCTCATTCTACTTTCGATGCGATCAGTTGATATCATTGTTCCCGTTCATCATTCGATGCACGCATAATATATTCAAAAGTTGGTATTCGTGAACCGCTTCCATGCTGCGCATCGTTACTGATATAATATGACGGACATACGATTAGCAAAATCATCTTTGAATCTCGCCATAATAGTGTAATAGGAAATCGGTCAAAATGCACAAAATTCCACTGTTTTG